ACGATTACAGAAAGATAGACACAGACGCGACGCGCTGCAAAGCCCTCAAAAGCAAAGCGCACTTCCTGGGACGGTGTTACTGGCGTCATAACACATCATCGTCCTTTTGCGCAACCACCATCGTTTATCATCTCACAACGTTAACGTTGTCGTTTTCCAATATCACCTCCACATTCGCTCTGTACCACCACCACATTTTCTTTTTTTCAATCATCATCTCGGGCGGCATTACACATCATACTTGTGGCGGATCGACGCGAGATTGTCGTCTGTTCATTTCGTGGGAAATTGTCGATACCTTGTCATCAAGTTACTTGGGTGTTACTGCAGGGATTGTCCGTGTTTGGGAAAACCCAGTGTACACCTTGCTTCTGTTTCAGATTCTCTTTGGCGCGCCTTGTTGGCGCTATCCCGTACTATACTAGACCGAGCTTTTTCCTTTATGTGCTTCATTTCATCGGCGGATACCCCCCAATTTGAGCATTTGGCGACTACATCATACCGTCAGCTTCTATCTCCTCTACTATATATCCTTGTTGGTTAAAAGGGAAGGCTGGGGTGAAGGAAGGGAGGCAAACCATGTTTTCTTGGGATAAACTTGGTAACAACATGGGAGGTGGGTAGAATAGTTTTTGAGCGATCAACTGGCCCTGTTTCAACTCTTCTCTTTGCGTCCCGGTTTCTACCTGCATTCTCCTTGCGTACTCTCATCTCACTATCTTGACTTTTCTTGCAAATCCACACAAACCGTTGTAATATGTAATAGGACATATAGCCCAGGATGGCTAGTCATTGTACGTTTCTTGCCTCGCGTCTACCCACGCTCATGGCTCATGGGAAGGAGTTCGATACCACCTGGCTTGTTTTTTCTCTATCTACTATCAACAAAGCGATTCTGGCCGTGCCGAACGCGCATCTCCTATGTACCATTAGTTAGCTATCTCCCTACCATCAATGAAAGCTGCTCGCTTGCCTGCCTCCGTCGCGGCACCAGACTGCAAAAAGACCACACTACGTCTCCGCTCTCTGCTCTCCATGCCTGACCCTGTGAAATCAATCTACCAGCCTCGGGCCAGCCTTGACGATTGCGTGATCCGCTCCACAGGACACGCAACGCCACTGCGTCACTCGCCTACTCGACCACCCTCGACTAGCCAACGCATCACTCCCGCCACTGCCATGAACCCTTCTTGCGTTCACGACCAAGTGCACTAGCCACGTCTTCACGTACTTACAAGCATCTTCCCTCATCAGATCTTTCAACTCAGCTCCGAAAGATCTCCATCGGTCCTACTCGTGATCTTCAGCGTGCATCTGTATGGCAGTCATTCCTTACTTGGTCCTCACAGCATCTTCCCAGATAGAAAGCTGGATACATGGTACTGCAGTGTACAGCGGTGTCCTCGTCCACCACGGTGAAGTCGGCAGGCATACGCTGACAGTCAGCCGCAGCGTCGATCAAGTCCATAAACCTGGTGATCTTCGTCTACACACATCATCATCTCTCCTGCTACTACACCCAAAGCACAACAGCCCATTTCCACCACTCTATCTCCGCCTACCCAAACCGAGGTGTCTCAACAAAGCGGAAACGGAAGGTAACACGGCAAGGTGCGGCGGGGACGGCCCGTCGCATATGCAGGTCTGTGTACATATGCAGCCAGCCACCAGCCACTACCACTACCACAACGGAAAAGGAGATGGTATGGCGTCGGTAGTCGCGATTGAGATTGCGGTCGCGATTGCGATCACGAGGACGATTCAGCATGTTCAAGTGAAACTCTTTTTGCTTTTTGAGGGAGGGGCAGAGTTTGGTACGCATTAAAGGGGGGATATTGGGGTGCGGAAAAAGTAAGTATGGTTTATCTAGCTCGCCGACGAGCGCGAGCGCGTGCGTCATGGTGTTAGTGGTGTTAGTTCAACACGGAAGAACTTCCCGGTGATGACTGATCTTGCGTTGTTTCATGTGGTGCTACATCGAGTTGATTGCAATCAATGGTCGAATCTATTGATTCTAGTATGGACTTTCCAGGTCTCTATAGAGACGATGCCGTATAGCCGTTACAGTATTCCCCATGTCTAAGAAACGCCATGCAATGCTCCTGCCTTTTTCTAATGCCTTTGTCTTTTCGTCAGCATAGCTTTACCAGCCGCCACCAGCGGTAACAGCCAGCCCAGCAACACGTTCCATGTCACTCGGCTTCTTCTTGCCAACATCGCTTTCGACCTTGATGTACGAAGTGTATATCAACTTCTGCTGATCGACGCCCGTGATATCAGCCCAATGTGCCATGAGCTGCTTCATGCGTGACCTCGATATCCCGTCAACGACATCTTGATCAGGGGAGTTTCCATTCGCCTTCCCATTTGCCATGTGTTGATCGCCGTCCCCGCCTGTCTTCTCGTCTTCCGAGTCTGTACCCGAGAAGTAGGCTTCGTCCACCTTTGCCAGCCACTCTTTTTGATCCTTTGGGCCTGGCTTGGGCGCGGGCGCATCTTCGTTCGCCTCTTGAATCCCTTCGTAGACGCGCACTTCTTCCACTTCCTGAACCTTGACTTGACCACCGCCGTTTGTGCATCCACCGGGACAAGCCATGACCTCCACGTACGCATAGTCCTTTACACCCTCACCCGCAGCAGCAACTGCACCACCTGGTCTCCTGCTAACACCCGTTTTGCCGCCCGGTAATCTACTGGCTTTTGCTGGCTTCAGTCGCCGTACTAAGTTCTGAATGTTTCTGAAACCATAGAATCGTGCTGCTTTAATAATCGTTTCTGAGCCACGAACTACTGAGTATTCCACTACATCAGCATTACGCCCTCGGACTGTTGATATTGTAGATCCCGGATTTTGAGCTTGGTAGGTTTGCAGTATGTGGTGTAGATATCCGCCAGATGGACCGGCAGCTGCGCTTTGGTTCTTCCGTCGCGAAGGAGGGAATAGGAATGCATCTAGCTTTGGGTCTGGGAACGGCGTTCGGTCGCTAGATGGAAGTGGTGTACGAGGAAGGGAAGCGAAATTGATGCCACGGGCTGCTGCGAGATGTAAGAGTTCGCGAGCTGTGATTACGCAGTCGGTGTCGCGGATCTTTTCCTGCGACTGGTCATAGCTAGGTAGCCATGCAGCTGATGTTAGCTCTCCACGGCTAGCTTCAAGCTTCTTGTCGAAGCATGGCATGATGGCGAGGTGCCATATCTGAGATGGCAGCACGTTATAACGCTCGCTAAGAACCGACTTGATCAAAGTGCCGGTAAGAGCTTGTGGCGACTTGAGTCGCGAGAGATGCGGGAGAACGTATGGATGTGTCTTCTCTGCGTAGCATATCCATCCTGGGCAGGCAGATGTGAGTATAGGAGCTTTTGGAGTCGCATCTATTGAGCCCTCGGATCCGGGCTTTGGTGTAATCTTAGATGCTTCGGGAGAGAGTGCATTTGTGACCTCGTCTGCTGCGGCAACGAGACAGGCTTCGCGCATCGCGTTGGTGTCGATAATCCAGGTGAAGTCGCTTCCTTGGTGACCGCCAGACCTCAGGCCTGAAGGTCCACTAAGGAGCTGCGCGATCATGTTTCCAGCCTCTACCTCGGAAATGTTGAAGACAGCTGCCAGACTTGCGCGCGACTGTGGTGAGACGCTTGCGACGAATAGCTTTCCTTCAGCATTTTGCCCATTCATATCTTTCTCTGTCCCATTGCTCGTATGTCCATTCGTATGTCCATTCGTATGTCCATTCGTATGTCCATTCGTATGTCCATTCGTCCCATTGTGTGCCAGCCACGGTGCGCGTAACGACGGGTGGGTATCAAGCGTTGTGAGGACCTCGGTATGCGATTGCAGCGAAACCAATACGGCTTCCGCACTTGTCACACATCCTGAACAGGCGAGGCAATCCGTAAGCGATATCGAAGCGGGTGGCGGCGGTTCTGAGGCGGCGGCTTTCTCTTCGGTCGTGACTTCGTATGGATTCTAGCATCATTGTTAGAATGCGCCCGCGCATAACGCAATGCGATAAGCCAACATACCGAGTTGTCTGCCTGTTGTACCGGAAGCGTCTCTATAGGTTTTATGCACGCGACACCCGGTGATATGAAGTCGTTGAGGTCGTCTGCTGAAAGAATGGCGCTCATGTTGCGCCGTGTTCTAGTGGGGGAGGGGTGGCAAGCGGTATTGCGATGAGAGTAAAAACGACCGCAGAGACAGCAAACACCAGACTATGCAGGCAAAATGTTGAGGAATGAGTGGAGGAAGAACGAAGAGCGCGATACAATCAAGAAAGTCCGAGACTCACGCCGCCCCGATGTCGCGGAGAAAGCAGTCACGCAACGCGCCGGCCTATCGATAGGCTCGCATTTCCAAAAGATTCCGAGATTACAAACCTCCGCGGCGAGTCGCCGCCACACTACCTAGGTATCCACATCTTTTGCATGCCCGCCGTCACTTCTCACGTGCTTACACATGCCAATGTCGAGTGCAGCAGGAACACATATCCACACTTGGCTACATTAGCTGCCGCAATATACTCGCTCACGGAGTATAGGAGCATACAGCATGCGCCCCGCATGCTGTTCGGCAGATCGATTTAGCCTGGCAAGCCGCGCATCGAATGGTCGGAAGGAAGGCAACAAACTTGGAAATGACCAACATGAATATAGTATTTCGCTTTACTCCTGACCATGCCGTGCCACGGGAGTCTGACTTGCTCACCATGTTTTCTTTCCTCACACCTCTGCAGTGTTGCTCCTGCGTACCGCCCGCATGCGACGCATTTCCATTGATACCTTGGGACTGATGTCTTCCAAGAGCGGCACGAGGTTTGAGGTCGCAAGGAGAAGGAGTGGGTGGATGTCTGCGCCTAGACTGCTGACGACATGTGTCTTCTTCGGTGCCTTGTGGTTGTGGTTCAACACAAGGACGTCGGAAGTTCTGATACCAGAGGATTCATTCGCCTTTGTACAGGACGAAACCTTAAGGGATATATTGAACACAACGCTAGGGGTACAACATGTCAGCTTCTCACATCCTACCTACACTAACCCAACTCAAGTTCGAGAAGATTTTGGTCCTCAACCTGCCCTCCCGTACCGATCGTCGCGATGCAATGAGTCTTGCAGCAGCAATTTCCAACATCAAGCTCGAATTTGTCGAAGGCGTAACAGGGGAGAGTATCAAAAACAAGGCATATCCTCTACCAGAAGAGAACAGAAAGCTTTCAGCCGGCATTCGAGGAAGTTGGAGAACACATATGAACGCCCTACAACAGTACACGCTCTCCACCCTTGACTAGGAGACATCACTGACCTAACAACATTCAGAATAGTCAATCAAAACCTAACCACAGCCCTCATCCTCGAAGACGACGTAGATTGGGACACACGCATACGTCAAAACCTACAACGCTTCGCCCTCGCCTCCCGCTTCCTATCCTCAAACCACACGTCCATCCCCCTCTCCAAACTGCAAGCCCACCGAAACACCGAAACAACACATACCGCCCTCCAAATCATCGACACAACCAACCTCGCCAAAAAGCTCATCTCCCTCCCTCTATCATTCCTCCCACGCCAATCCCACCTTACCCACACCTCATCACCACCATCACCCTACGGCGACCCCACAAAATGGGACATACTCTGGCTCGGCCACTGCGGAACCGGCATGCCTCGTGCAGCCCACGGTCAAAAATCCCAAGTCTACGACCACGCAGTCCACCGCTGGATAACCCTAACGCACACCAACGACGCCACGGTACCCTCACCCCAGCACCTAAAAGCCCATCCTTTCCAAGGCGAACTAGACGCCCTAGCCACCGCTTTCCCACCACACACACGCATCTACCACCGCGCCACAGGCGGCACCCTCTGTACAGTCGGATACGCCGTCTCGCAACGCGGCGCCCGGCGCTTACTGCATCAGTTCGGGGTGGCGGGTTGGAACGGGATTTTCGACAGTGAGCTTGGGCGGTGGTGTGCTGGGAACGATCCGGATATGGGGCGGCAGGCTCAGCACGCTTCTGGCAGTGCTAGGGGAGGTGGCGGCGTGGGTGTGAAGGGGGATGAGAGGGTTTGTCTAACGACTCAACCACCGGTTTTCGCACACCATCATCCGAGTGGTGGGGAGAGTGATATTGGTGGTTTGGGAGGCGGGTTTGCGAAGGGGGTTGAGACGAAGTATCTGAGGTATAGTGTTAGGATGAATTTGGGGGCGTTGGTTGGGAGGACGGGAGGGGAGGTTGGGGCGGAGGGTTTGGTGGATCAGTGGCCTGATGGGGGAGAATGAGGGTATGGATAGGAGGCCGGTCTTGTGTATAGGCATGAAAGCGGGCCAGGGAGGGACGATTGAGTGAAGTGTCATGAGTAGTGGTTATTCTTCAACTTCTCTGCCCTAGCTATTGAGATCCACCTACTGTGGCTTTTCTTTCGCTCTTTAGATCACCTCTTCCTCCTCCCCCTCCTTCTCCAATCAATGCACGAATCCTCTCCCTAAGACAAGACTTCCCGGTACCCGCCGAGGCGTTCTTCCTTTCTCCCTCCAACCTTGTGATTAAAATAGGAACGAACGACTCGAAGGTATCATGAACAAACAGGCGGCCGTCCCGTCGTGCCCTTCCTTGTAACGCCAATGAAAAGCAAAATAATGCTCCCTATAAACAATGCACAAGCTCACTGGGTATAATGACCTTGCGCCTTTTGTGTTCAAATAGACCCAATGCGTGCTGTAGATGGTAGCTTCGACATGACTCCGGGCTCCGCTGGTAGCATGATCAGTGTTGCGCCTGTGTTGGTTGCTATCGCCTTTGCGCGATCCAGTAATTTGCGTGCACAGTGGTGCAGATCGTCTGTCCTGGTCGGGTCGGCTGGTTGCCGCTGGCTTCATCCAACATCGTTTGGTGCTCGAGTCCGTCTTGACCCTCCGATCGCAGAGACAAAACGTGCGGAATATCGAACACAAGCATCCTACGCATGGCAAAATCGTGTCCCTCAAAATCCTCAATGCTTTTGCGCGATCAGCTCTTCACTCAATCAGCGGTTTCCGTACGCCTCCCACAATTGCGATACCGAGTGCGCGCAAGCCTTCTGGGTCGTTGGATCGAACAATAGTACTGGCGGGCAACATGGGGTTGTCAGGTGTGACGTGTGCGGCGTCCTTGGCTGCCTGCTCAATGGCCTCCATTTCCTCTTTACAGCCTGCATGGTCAAAAGGACATACCACAATGGGCTGACGGAGCAGGATGTCTCGGGCTGACGACATTTGCGCCTGCGTTCAGTCAGCATAATTTTCAACTTGCAATTCGCCCAGTTCAGCCTACCTTGACTGTGAGGTAGTACTCAATCTTGTACAGAGTACCAGTCGTCGTAAACCCAGTAACAGCGTACATGGGAAACTCCTTCTGCCCTCTTGGGATAACACCTGCGTTGTCTCGTAGATCTTTTGCGGGGAAGACTAGCCCGAGGTTGGTGAAATAGCCCGCTTCGGGCATCCTCACTCCGACATGTTGCTGCGTTTTTGCCAGCGTCTTGACTTTACGAGTCGGCTCATCTCCTTCGTGGTTGAAGATGATCTCTTCGTCTATGCCGACTGTGATCTTGTTGATTGTGACCTTCTTCGCCTTGCTCAGCCAGTCGGGGTTGGGACTCAATTTGATGTATACTGAGACTGGGTCCATGGGTCCATAACTCCATCTCGGCAGGCTGATGCCAAGAGTGACGAGGTGGTCCGTCACTCGTTCTGCGCTTTCGGGTCGATTGTACATGCCAAAGGTAGAGAGGGTGTCGTATCGTTGTATCGGCACGGCAAAGGGATACTTCTTCTGTTCCTGGGGCCCTTGCTGTACTGTCACGACGAGTTCGTAAAACGTCTCCGCCGTCCGACTCGGTAATTGTAGACTCGCGGGCGGGACTCTCCTCGCTACCTCCTCGCCGCCGCGTCCGTACGGTATGAAGATGACGAACGGGAGGTCCATACATAGTATACTCTCATGCTCTCTTCCGGGCGAACATCGATATAGGAGCATCTCCTTACCGACGATGTCGGTAATCTCTTTGCGCGGGGCTGCCAGATGCTTCTTCGTAACCGAGTCGGCGGACGGGTGTATGGTTTCGCGACGGTGCAATGCGATGGTGACGAGGGAGACATTGACGGGCGCCGATACTCCAATGAGTGGCCGTATCTCGACTTTGCCTTCTATTCGAGGCTGTGACATGTCAGCAATGGCCAGTACCCTTGTCGAAGGGGAGTCGGCCATACAGCGACTCGACGCGGCTGGATGGAGCGCAAGACGCCCACTCATAACGGAAACAGACTGGAGACACGTACTAGTGTTGCTGATATGCCCGGATAGCCAACCAGAAAGTTACTGTTGGGCGGTCCTGAGACGCGAACGAAGGCCGACATGTTCGTTTCTCGCAGCGCAGGCCTGGGAGGGCAGCGGGCGCTGCATGGGCGTATCCGTGGCCTTTCAGAATGCGGTGCCCTCGTCCGAGTCGCGCGTTGGAGGCTCTAGGGTAGTGATGCGCCGGGCAGCTATGCCGTGCTGGGAGCTAGGTAGCCTTCCGGGCAGCCAATTGTGGGGTTGAGATGATGTAGGCGCCTCGTATCTCGAACCCGCGGGGCTCAGCGTGGCAGTGAGGCCGGTGGGTGCGCGGCGGGCCGACGGCTAAGGTTTGCGATGTAGGAATGGGCGTGTCCTGCGTGAATGCGCGGGGATACTGTGGTGGATTACGTCCCGAGCGTGGTAGGGCTGTCGCCGGGTGGAGCTTATGCGGCGGCGCTTATGATGAGGTCGGCCGTCTGCCAGTGTCGCGAGCAGAGGAGGCAGCGTGGGCAGCGGGCGGTAGCAATGATGATGACAGCGAATGCAGGGCGATTGCACACAGTAAGCGCAGTCGGATAGACGCGTGATGTTCTAGGCGCGACGAGGTGGAGGTGGATGGGCGCTCAACTTCGAGGGTCCGATTCGTGCGCCATCATCGCTCCTTCCAAACCACAAACACGACTGATCTGCACCCACCACCATGTCCGTCACAGTGAGTCCAACCGCCTGCCTACTGCAAGCTTGTTGCTAACAGTGACTAGCTGCATACGACAAAGGGCGATATAAAACTCGAAATATTCTGCGAAGCCGTCCCCAAGACCGCCGAGAACTTCCTCGCCCTCTGCGCGTCGGGCTTCTACAACTCTTCACCCTTCCACCGCCTGATCCCCTCCTTCATGGTCCAGACGGGCTCGCCAGCCTCCGACCCAAAGTCCAAGACTTCCACATCCATCTACGACACGCCAAACCAGCTCTTCGAGGACGAGCTTCGGCCCGCGTTGCGACACAATGCGAGAGGCATCTTGAGCATGGCGAACAAGGGACCGAATTCAAACGGCTCGCAGTTCTTCATCACGTTTGCGCCTGCGCCGCACTTGGATGGGAAGAACACCGTCTTTGGAAAGGTGCTCGAAGGATGGGAGGTACTGGATGACATGGAGGCCGTTCAAGTAGACAAGAAGTCAAGACCGCAGGAGAAGATGGAGATCAAGAATATCACCATTCATGCAAACCCGCTGGCAGGATGAACAATATTTTACTGGGCACAGCGGTAGTAATGCGACTCATGTCAAGCTGGAAGCGTAGTGTCTGATTGGAGCCTGAAGGATGTCGCGTCATCTGCAGAAAAAGGAAGCGCGGATCAAGATCTGAGAGAGCCGACCATTCACACTATCGGCGTTGGGCAGAAGGATTTCGAGTCGCTATAGGCATCACGAAGCATGGACGCAGGGAAGAGTTGGAAGAAGATCATGTCACACTGATCATGGCTGGCGAGGCCTTGGTATCTACGAGCGCCGACCTAATGCAAGAGTCAAGGAAATCTAAGAGACATCGAAGTTAGCCCTACGCGCCATTGGTCGTTGTCCCGTTCGCTGCCATGCTAGCCGCATGCTCCTCCTCGTAGCCCTCCGTCTTCATGTCAAGCAACCCGAGTTCCTCCTCCTCCGCCTCTGTCCTCTTGTAGTCCTCGACCTTGATCTTTGGGTCGGGCTCCGGTGCCGTGAAGCTCTGGACGTAGCTGCTGGCGAGAGGGTCTTCGAGAACGAGAGTGAACTTGTCTTCGCCGTTGATGGCTGCAGAGAGGTTGTGGAAGAAGGTGTTCCATTTCTGCTTGGACTCTGAGTCCATTGAGTCTCCTCCACCGCCAGCGTCGAAGATGGAAGATTTCAAGTCATCGCGTACTTGGGTCAGTAGACCTTCGATCGTGGTGAACCTGCCACCAAGAGTACCGGGTTCAACGCTGAGGTTGAGCTCGAGACAGGACATGGCGCATGATTCGGCCTTGAGGATATCTCGCGACAGGTCTTCCTTGCTGTCAACGGTGACTGTGATACGACGACCCAGCTCAGGAACTTCGCCTCCGGTTTTGACCTCGTTACTTCGGTCTGCATTGCATTAGCAGGTAAACGTTGATTGTTCCATGATATAAACTTACATCCGCAGTGATCGCATACTGTGCTCATCAGGACCACCTGCTTGAAGTGGGGAATGTTGACCATCTTCATGTTTGTGGTGCACGACTTGGTGCATCCCGGGCAGCTGGCAGGGAAGGAGTAGACCTGGTTCTCCACAATGTCGTCCTCATCCACGTTGTTCACCATTGGGGCGTGAGAGGATGGCATCTCTGGATACATTTGCGAAGCGTGGTACTCTGGTCGGATTTCTGTGGCGGGCGCTTCACCGCTGGCGTCTCCGCTGGTGTCGCCCAGACCGAGCGCTTCGTTTTGCGCCGCCGTTCGTGGGTATTCGTTGCGAGAGTATTT